GCTTCGCTGGAATCTTTTGGTGTTCAAGTTTCTGGGAGTTGTTGCAACTGGCCTAGCGTGTTTGGGCGCTTGGTCGGGTAAGTCACAGGTCAGGAGCTTCGAATTACTTTCAGGTCCTTGAAGACGACGAGTTGTTCGAAACGTCGACCTAATAAAGCGGTTTCATCATAACAAACCTGTACGGCAAAACAGTATAAAAAACATTAAGTGATGGAAGTGATTCTTAAGTAAATAACCTATAGAAATTTCATTCCTCCCTAAAGCCGCAAAACAGCTTTTGCGATCATACCAACATTTGCAACTGCTTTTCCATCACAAGACTTACAACGCACTCCCATGCATTACTTCTTCGTCGTTTTTTTTTTTACTTTTCTTTGCTTTCAGTTAGCTTTGTGCGCCGTTATGCCAGAAGAATCGGTAGGGACCCACGGGCAGTGCCAGATAAGTACGCGAATTTGCTGCGCCTCATTCTCCTGCTAATAGTCTATCTAAAGTTCGCCGCTACTTAGCCAAAGAGAACACCTAGCAAGGCTTGTCGCCTGCTGTTAGTAGGCCTATTGGTGCGAGATTATTTGTAAAGAATGCAGTGAAACCGGATCTTCTCTCTAGGAATAGGGTATAGATTTCGGACTGTTTATCTTTGCTTTATATTATATTTGTCGGCATAACTGAAGCACGGTTTAGCTACACTTCCTATGACCACATATTCTATAAGGAGTAAATATCCTACTTTATATAAAGCGTTAATGTCTGTGTGTTTGTGTGTGTGTGTGTCCGACCGGAAATTCATGACTCCTGTCCCCGTGGACCTAGAAAGTTCAAACTTGGTAAAAGTACTGGGGGCAGGATGGGAGCCCTATGATGCGTGGCAGGACCGGACCCTGCCCGCAGGGGGCGTGGTTTGTGCAGAAAGATGTTTGAGCAGAAAATCATAGCTCCTGTCCCCGTGGACTCAGAAAGTTCAAACTTGATAGGAGTACTGGGGCAGGATGGGAACACCTATGATGCGTGGCAAGACCGGACTCCGCCCTCAAGGGGCGCGGTTTTTTGCGGAAATTGTTAATTTGGTCCGAGAGCGTTCAAACTGGAAGGATCACTGGAAACGTGGTGAGAACACTTGTGGAGGATGGCAGGACCAGACTCCGCCGACAAGGGGCGGGATTTGAATAGAAATGATTTGAATAGAAATTCATAACTCCTGTCCCCGTGAACCTGGAAAGTTCAAATTTGATAGGATTATAGAAAACAGAACGGAAACACCTATGGTGGGTGCAAGGACCGGCTCCACCCACAGGGGCGGGGTTTGCACGAAAATTGTCAATTTTGCCTTAGGACCTTCAAAATGGTTAGGAGTACAGATGGCAGCATGGGAATACTTGTGGTGGGTGGCAGGATTAGACTCCGCCCTCAAGGGGAGGGGTTCCCCATTGGAGTAGAGGAGGCAGTATGGGAACACTGACGATGGAAGAGATCCTAGAAAACGAGATCTATCCAATTAAATCCAACGCCTTTGTTATTTACGATTCAGCTTTGACTCTTTGATATGTTTCATTCGACAAGAAAGGTAAGCGCAGTGATAGGGACCGAATAAGAGTACTGATTTTTAAGGAAACAAGAATCGGTTCGTTTTCTGCTATTAGGTTACGACCGCTAGTGAGCAAAGTCCGCTTCGATATCATTTTTAGCGAAACTTATCCGACCGCTGATAATCTTGGATTCTCATTCAATGGCATATAGAGATATCCGTAGAGAAAGGAAGCTTCACTGGCAAAGACATTGATAGTGTTATGGCTCGATAACATTTGTTAGTACCACTCAGGGTTTTAGTTGCCTACCAGTTGAACCTTCAATGGATCACTATTTTCAAAATGAACAGGCTTCTAGACTTTTGATTATAGGCGTAAGCATCGGTACATTTTGAGCCACAGGGGGCGGGACATGCAGAGGAGTGGGCTGTGTCTTCGGCAAACCTTTCTCATTCGGTCTTCTAACAGTCCAGGTTTTGGGAGAAAATGAGCAAAGGCGAGGGATGGGTCAACAAATGAATTGAAGGGCACTCACCGGCGGTTGGCGGGGGGTTCTCGCAGTAGGCGGTACTTCCCATTTAAGTCCATAACTGTTCATGAAGGCGTGGAGGCTAGGAAAAAATAAAAAGGTTGAGCAAGGCCTAATGCGTGCTGCATGCGTAAACTTAGCGTAGCTCCGCCCACGATGAGCGGGGCGTTCGTTGAAATGAAGGTTACTTTTCAAAAATAAATATAACTCTGTTCAGAAAAGTTCTAGGACGTGCCAAAAAAGTGGTAAGACATCACCTGTATCACCTGTCGTTCCGTTGATCATCGACTGTCTCGAGCGGGCGCCAGTAACGTCTCCATTCGTCCCTGTCACGAGCCAGAGTGGTCCAGTGAATCGTTCTCGCTCCAGGGACACGAGGTTTAACATTCCTTTCGGTCAGAGCTTTCGTGAAGAAGTCTAACCATCTCGTTGGCGGCCTTCCTGGAGTTCGTTTGATGTCCCGAGGGATCCAGTCAGTAACCGCCCTGGTCCAACGGTCATCACTATATCGCATAACATGTCCTACCCACCTGATCTTCGATTTCTTGACGTAATCAACGGCATCCCTGATCTTCGTTCGACGGCGAAGCTCGGAACTCCGGAATCCACTTTGCACTTGCGTGTATAGGGAAATACCGAGCATCGTCCTTTCCAAAGCGTGTTGAGTAACGCTGACAGCATGCTCATCCTGCTTTCATAGAGTCCAGGTCTCCCAGGCGTACGTCAAAGCAGGAAGGACAGCAGTGTCGAAAAGGTGAGCGCGGGGCCGGATGTTCTTTGTCTTCTTCACTACTCCCTCGATATTTTCAAATGCTCCCCACGCGGCCGTTTCCTTCTGCACAGCTCCGGACCTAGATACACATGGCTAAAGCATTCAGAGATATCCTTTCCGTAAAGTGTGAAAGGAGCATCAGATACCAACCCGTTTTTTATGAACATCGTCTTCGTTAGGTTCAGTTTCGGGTCAATCCTTCCACAAGCACTATCAAACTCGGCCAGCATTCGTTCCGCCTGCTCAATATTCGGTGCTATAACCACGACATCGTCTGCAAAGCGAGGTGATGTAAGTAGCGGCCGTCGAGCTTCACTCCCAAGTTTTCCCATCCCAAATGACGCATGATATTTTCGAAAGCGGCACTGAAAAGTTTGGGCGAAATGGTATCGCCCTGCCGGACACCTCTCTTCACGTTGATAATGACTTCCTTGTAGAATGGTGAAATCCTTGTCGTGAAGTTGTCGTAGTGCTCACGAAGCATCCTTATATATTGAGTAGGAACACTCTGGTCGCCCAGGGCTTCAATTACCGCTTCTGTCTCAACGGTGTCGAAGGCTTCCTTCAAGTCGATAAACGTAAGACATAGCGGCATTATGTACTCTCGCGATACTTCAATGAGCCTTGTTAGGGTGTGGATATGATCGATTGTACTGAACCCTCTCCGAAGCCCTGCTTGCACGCATGGCTGTCCTTCATCTAATATTCTGCCAATCCTATTTAGGATGACACGAGTGAAAAGCTTGTAGATTACGGACAGCAGGCAGATTGGGCGATAATTGCCAATATCGTCTAGATCTCCCTTTTTGTACAGCAACACATTTTGCTAGTTTTCCACGACGTGGGCACTTTGCATTCCGACAGGTACCGTGTGAAGAGCCTAGCCAGAGTTTTGATGATGACTGGTAGTATACTCTTCAGATGTTCTGGTTTGATCCTATCGGGACCGGGCGCTGTACAGTTCTTCATCGACGTGATGGCATGTCGTATTTCGGAAGGGAGAACCGAAGGAGCGATATATTCGTTTTGCCTAAGATGGTGATTAGGCAGGTAGACGTGGCTGTCGAAGAGATCCGAGTAGAAGTCGTAGATTTCCTTCTCCATTGCCCTCCGCGATGCAGTAACGGTTCCTTCAGGACGACGAAGGGAGGTCATCTTTGTCTTGTTATTGGCTAAGCTTCGTCGGGCTTTGCGAATGCTCTTTCCGGCCTCGGCAGCTTCGTCCATGACTGCTGCTCTTCTCTCTGCACTAACCAGCTGGGGATCCTTCAGTGAGAGAGAACCCTCAGTGAAGGAGATCCGTAGTGTGGTAAGACATAATAGAACAAATGTGGTCAAATCCCAGAAGTGGCACTAAAACGGGCGGGGTATAGATTAAAAATTTTTAACTCAATTCAGAAACGTTTCGGGATGCAGGCAAAAACGGTAAGATGTAAAAGTACGAATGCGGTCGAATCCCAGAATTGGGCGGGGTTGGCACTAAAAAGGGCGGCGCTTAGGTCAAAATTTCATTTAAATTTAATTTTCAGATACGTTATTTATTGATATTTGATTAGACAGATATTTGAATTTAATTTTCGGATACGTTCTAGAACGCGGGGAAAAGGTGGCTAGAGATAGTAGAAGGAATGTGGTCAAATCTCCAAAGAGGGCATGCTTTGCAGTGAGGGGGCGGGGTTAAGATCAAAAAGCATAACTATGTGCAGGTACGTTCTAGAACGCGGCAAAAAGGTGGTGAGAGGGATAGAATGAGTGTGGTCAATTCCGTGAAACGGACGGGTTAGCACTAAGGTGGGCGGGGTGAAGATAAAAAAATTCGTAACTCTATTCAGAAGCGTTCCAGATCATGGGAAAAGTGGTCCAAGGCTAAAGAAGGAGTGTGGTCATATTTTTGAAGAGGGCTAGGCTTGCACTAAGATGGGTGAAGGAAAATCAAAAGTGCACAACTCTGTCCTTAACATTCCAATATCGTTCTACGTGCGATGTCATCATCATTAGTAATTACCTATGAAATCATCCACTTACCATATATAAGGAATTTGTTTGTGTCTCCCAAGTACGGTATTACCTTGAGAAGTCGGGTCAACTTTGGAATGGCTGGATCGGGCAGGATCAAGAAACCACGTATTAGTTTAAGGGGACATTGCTCAAAGGGGACGGAACATTCATCGGAATGAGTGGGCCATTGAGGAAACTTCAATATTTTGTTCCTAAAATCCCACACAGTGAGAAAAATGGGCAAAGCTCAAGAATAGGCCAAGAAATAGCACGGAGTCTCATCCGTGGTAAGCGGAAAAATCTCGAAGCAAAAATCATAGCCCGCCGCAGACCATTGCTGGATTCTCGAAGGTGAAGCTCAGAACAAAAAATCATCTCTGTTGGACGCGTTCTTTGTTGTAACGCACGCGTTAGTGTGTGGAGCCCAGATGGTTATATTATAGAATAAAAAGTGCGCTGAAAAGGGTTATGTTGGGTGTCGCCAACATGTTGAAATGCATTCTTGCTATCCGTACTGTAGATAAAGCGCTCGCATCTCTATGACGCACACGAATTTGGTACTACTTGAAGAAGCACCTAATGAGATAAAACTAATTCAGATGTGGGTGCTGTCTAGGCCAGAACGGAGCACATGTCAGCTCAGAGGAGCTCTGCCATGAGGGATGGAATATGCATCGAAGAAGGCGTTGGGAGGTTCAAACTTTCCGATATGGCTTAAGAAAAACCCAAATAAACAAAGTTCGGGAAGGGGTGAATCAATGAAATGGAAGTGTTGGGCGGGGTGTCTTAAAATCAGGTGATGCTTGCTAAATAGTATGAGTCGATTTGATTTAGCATTGTGGTCAGGGTTTGCTCGGGGCCTGCTTTCAAGAGGGAAGTGCACTTTACAAAAGTTCTTAGCTTAGGTAAAAACGTTATATAATCCGGAGAGTAGTGCATAGAGACTGGTGAGTCGCAAGCGGTAAAGTTTTCATTGTGAGAGGAGCGTGCACCCAGATGGGTGGGGCTGAGAATAAGCCATAACAATGTGAAGAAGTGGCTGTTGAAGGGCGGTCGAGCTTTCATGGTGGGACAAGCATGTACTGAGGTGGGCGGGGCCAAAATCAGTAATTCGCAATTCTGTTTGAAGCGATAGTAGTTGTTTTGCACGAGTAGCCCAGCGGTGAATAATAAGTGCTATTTAAGAGTGGCTACCTAGTTACAGTCTTTGCCTCTTTTCTATTTACAAAATTGACTTACGAACACCCGATTCCTGCATGCTTGATTGACGCTGCGCTATTAATTACCACTTTTATACACTCTTCGTCAAGCTTGATAATTTGGAGCGTGCTGCGGCATGTCCCTTTCCTATTTTCCTGCCGCCGCACCGTTGCCCTACTGCTTTTTCTTATCTAGAAACTTTGCAAACGTTCTACCTTCTTCTAATTCTGATTATTTTTCAATAGGTCTGACCAATTTGACTGATCCCCATCCTTCTGATCAAAACTTCTATTTCGCTGAACGAGCGCTTAACCTCATATAGCTCTTTTGATGTAAGTTTTTATGACACCACGGTCCATTCGTGGGAAACCTTTGCCGAATTCGGATTCCTGCCGAGTTTCTTTAGTTCCATGGTCTAGAGTATTTATTTACCTTATTATTCGATAATTACTAAAAGTATTCTTATTCAGAACAAGCGAGACGAGAGTTAGAAAATGCTCAGCACTACCTTGAGACTGAAGGTAAAACACAGTGGGAATTGGCCAAAGAAGCTAGCAAGAAGTACGGAGAACAGAGCCAACAAGTAAGAGCGGTTGTTTTTTAAGTCTCTCCTCGTGCAATGGCAGCTACTAATCAAGTCAGCAACATATAACGGCATTACCAGCTTGGTACAAGTACTATATTCGGGTATAACTTTCACAACCAAGAGATCGGTGACCATGTGTTTTACTTAGTCTGTAGCTGCTAAGGTGTGTTCAAATGAGAGTAAAATAATTGGTACTCCCCAACTAATCTGTGCATTGGTAACAATAATCGCACAAAAACTTTCAGATGTCTAATCTTGCTCAAAATACTCGAGAAGAAGCCGATAAGCACGAACAACAATCAAAAGATATTGAACGACTTGCTGAAGACGCAAATTTGAATGCGAAGAAGGCTCATAAAGAAGCTCGAGATGCAATCTACGGAGGTTGCTTTCATCATACGGCTCTTGCTGATTAGATTTCACATTCATTCAGTGACACTTTCAGGTGAGCAGGTTTCACAGCAAATCGCTGAAATGGAGGAGCGGCAGGCACAGTTAAACGAAACTCTTGGGAGGTGCGTTTTGTCAGATTTCCAACAGTTTTCAACGAACAAATCCAGATATTTTTTGTTGTTATGGGCGTGTTTCACGCTGGTTCACAACCCGTCAGTGACCCCAGTATTGTATTGCTTGAATGAACAGTCGTTTCGAGCCGTTCATGATTTATTTAGGACGTTAGGCTTGGCTAAGGAACAGAAAAAGGCCGCTGCTGCCGCTAATCAGGCTGCTGCCGAGGCGCTTACGACAGTGGAAAGCCTTCGTCTTCCCAATTTTGACCCGCAACAGGTGTGTTCAATTTTCGTCGATATACATAGGTGAAATCTTACTCTATACGAAGTTGAAAGGGCAAGTTTTAAGCTGAAAGCAGACGCGAAAGCAATCAGTGTCGATGCTAAAGTGGCCATCGAGAATACTAAGAAGGAAACGGAAAATAACAAAGAAATCCTAGAACAGGCTGCTAGGGCAGCTGCTGAAGCCAGAGATGAATTACAGAGCGCTGAAGATCAGCAACAGGTGAGACGACTTCTACTTCCACATTACAACAGCCGTAAAGGTGACGCGAGACCACTCCTTGACTTTATTATCTTTCATAGTAGTAAAGCTCCGTTATTTGCAATCTCACCCTATTTCATGCCTCGGTAGCATCTTACAGAACAATTGGAGGCGATTTGATAACGGGTCTTCCATAACCGATCTTTATTCTCGTGAGGAGCATGCTCTCTTAAATAAACAGCTCACGTGCTCATAGTCCTTACTATATATAATCCATAAGTTTAGTGTCTCTCTGTATGTATGTAGGTATGTATGTTTGTCTGTCTGTAACACAATCCGGTCCTACCTGGAAAAAACACCTTCAGAGGTCGGGACAAGTTTGGAATGGTTGGAGCCCAAGACAAGATTAATAGAGCACATACCATTCCGGCACTTAGCCCCCCCCCCCCCCCCCCACNCCCCCCGTAGGTGATGCTCTGAGGAGCTCCACCTACGGGGGGGGGGCAAGTGCCGGAATGGGCGGTGCCAACAGTTCCAGACACCGGGGAAAAATGTTCAAAGGTGAGGATTGGGTCAACAAACTAGACGGAGGAGACCCACGTGCTGTGGGCGGAGCTTTCTCAAAATGGGCGGTACTTTTCAAATGTATTCATAACTCGATTCAATTAGGGCGCAGTGGCCAGGAAAAAAAGAGAAAGAGTGAGCAGGGCCTCATGCATGTTGGGCATGCGTAAACTTAGCGAAGCCCGCCCACGATGGGCGGGGCGTGCGCTGAGTCGAAAGCCACTTTTCAAAAATGAACGCGACTTTGCTTGGAAACGTTCTATAGTGCGGGGAAAAAGTGGTTAAAGGTAATGGAACAAATGTGGTCAAATCCCAGAAGTGGGCGTGGTTGGCACCAATGTGGGCGGGGCTTAGATCAAAAATTTACAACTATTCGGAGACGTTCTAGGATGCGGCAAAAAGGTGTCAAGGTGTAAAATAGCAAATGTGGTCAAATCCTCGAAGTGGGCGCGATTGGCACTTAAATGGGCGGGGCTCAGACAAAAGTTCATAACTCTATCCAGAAACGTTACGGGATGCGGAAAAAAGTGGTAAGATGTAGTAGAACAAATGTGGTCGGATCCCACAAGTGGGCGGGATTGGCGGGCAGTGAGCGGGGCTTACATCGAAATTATTAAGTCTCCTCAGATGTGTATTAGAAAAAATGCGTCTGGAGGTAGTAGAAGTAATGTGGTTCGAAGTCTGAAGTGTGTGGCGTTTGCAAAGAGGGGGCGTGGCTGAGAACAAAAGTTTATACATCTGTCTTTCACACTAACCCTGACCACATAGGTGTACAACTAGGGGATACCACTGAACTTTTTCGAAAATTAGGCTATGATTTTTTAAAGTTTATTATCCACGATTCCACACACAGTGGTCCTTTCTGCGCAAGAGCGAACGCGCTACATTGACTTCTGTCCTCGTAAGATAAATTCTACAATAGCCCCGGCCACACAGGAGCGCACACCGTAGAGATGTGTAAATCCCTATAACTACCCAAAGGGGCTGTTCTTTCAAGATTAGTGTTCATGGCTACACGTAGCCCAAACTACACAGGGTTTATTCGACTACATGGACTGCAGAAGTATTTGATTTGGATACATCGAAGTACCCTTCATGGCCACATACAGTACAACCCCATTTCACATCCCAAAAAAATGATGGCCGCCACAGATGTGTCAGGGGAGATGCTCAGATGATGAGGTTCATAACGAAAATTAGAAGCGTATGTGGCTTCGTCCCGTATGGCTAGAGCCCCCAGCGCACGCAATAGCGTGCCTAGCCGCCTGGTTATTTTAAAATGTGCAATAATAACAAATAGTAATTGTAATAATATCAATAATAATAAAGTTTCCAATCCATATCATTAATATCAGTTCACACAACTGCCAAAGAGGTCAGCAGCCATTCAACTAAGCGAGGTCAGCCCATAGACGAGTGAGTGGATGTGCGAGGAGAGTACGAAGTAAGTAGAAGTGGGACTAAATGCCGCCTGAGAAAATAAGCCGCGAAAATTTCGCAATAAGTATGCATGAACCTAGTAGGTGACCTCGCGCGGCGCAGCCCACTGCGATCTCAAAATGACGTTGCAGTACCGCGAACAGGGAAGGTTTTTCAGAGCGTGGGACGCTTCCTGAAAATGGTTACTTGCATGGTATAGGGGCATGAGCACCGAGTGACAGTGAGCAGTTCCACATGTCGAGACATGTTGGAAAGTGCGGGGAAGTTTCATATGTGCTCTCCACGGTTGAGATGCTGGCAGCGACCGATGGTGTGGTGGATAGCAATGTGGACATCGAGTTGGGGCGACTAGGCTGGGTTGATGGCTCGGATCCCAGGGGCTATATCGTTTTTGCATTTTATGCTGCCTCCTCCAGATTGGCTCCATATTGCACCAGGGCCAAGGCCAGTGCCTGACTGGTCGTGGTCGTGACCAGAACCAGCGACCTCTACAACCTCTACAAGTCGTTAGAATTTGATGTGTGGAGGACCATCAATGGAGGAGCTTCCAGGCTTCACACTCCCATGGGTATGATGCGGTCTCTTCATTTCACACTATATAAATGTTGTAATAGGATCAAAACCCTGTAATATGGTTTCCGTTGGATGGAAGCTGTCCCCGACCTCGTTCGTCAATGCAAAGACAACAGGATTCTCATATTCATTTTAGCTCCCGATTCCGACCTTTCTCTGGGCGTCAGCGCCAACTTTTGCGGGAAAACGAATCAGGTTCTCTTCCAACGCGTTTTCTTGCTAAGGCATCCATGAGCACTGAGCTTGATATAAAAAAGCTGTCACCACTAAAGGAAAACATTCTAGCGCCGGATTACTAGATTAAAGGCACAGTTCATGATAATTTTGGAGAATCCAGTTTATGATGAAAAATGGAAGACAAGATCGAAACTAGTGCGACTGAGGTGAAGAAACTGCGTGCATTGGTGTTTCTAAAGTGAAAAAAAGCTTCAAAAAACCGTTAAAAAGGGGGCTGGACGAGAATGAAACAAGAAAAATGAAGAAGAGTGGGGCGTCCGGACGAGCTAAACAGTGTGTTTCACTGCGCGCGTGTGGGTCCTGGTGCGAATAAAGACAATGGTAAGCAAAAGTTCAATCACTTATAAGCATAAATAAACAAAAAAAAAACTCTAGTAACAGCAAAAGTAGCTCACCTTTTTCATCCTCTAGGAGTAGGAAACTGAATAAGGGATCGCGGCAGCAAAAAGAAAATCAGAGGAAAAAAGAATTGGAGAAAAACATCGCCTCATCACTCGCCGATCAGCTGATTGTGCGTGGGTCCTAGAACGAGTCATAGCAATCTGTATTGTCTCGACACTCGTCTAACGTGGCACCGATCGAGGGGCGGGAACGCGAACTACGGCAGCAACTGTGCCCTGAGCGCCGAGATTGTGGGAGCGAGAGGGTCCCCTCTACCACCCATGAAGGGCGCTGAGTATTCTTAAGGAAAAAACTCAGTAACCTTTTTTATCGTGAACCGTGCCTTTAATGACCAGGTGAAGGGTTTGGGCGATACCTGTTCCCAACATACGATCCCCCAACTCCGCGTCCTGCTACGAAGGGCTGGTAGGACGCGATCAAGAAGGACTATGCTGAAGTCGAGGTGGCTGCAGAAGATACTGATCGTGAGGAGAGAAGGAAATGGAGATGACCAACCAGGCTGTAGGCAAAAACGCTTCAACGGCGCGAGTTCAAGATAGGGTCAAAAGCGGTGAAATCATCGAAATTAGATGCACCTTTCATCAGTTTTGAAGGGATTCGGTCGAAATTAAACAACAATCAAACCATTACTGTCCAAATCATTGAAAGAATTGTATGGGCTGTGCAAAGTTCATACAATGTTCGAAGATCAGATGGTATGATATCGAGTTTTATGACTACCGAAATGATATCATACCAATTTACCAACATTTTATAATACTAACCGAATGAACTCTCGATGTGAGGGATGCAAAAACAGCCGAAGTGATGAAAAACTACGAGGGGGGGGGGGAAGAGGAGACTCTGGGAGTGAAAAGCCTGGAAGCTCCTCCACTGATGGTGCTCCACACATCAAATTTAAACGACTTGTAGAGGTTATCGCTGGTCCTGGTCGCGACCATGACCAGTCAGGTACTTGCTTTGGCCCTGGTGCAATATGGAGCCAATCTGGAGGTGACACCATAAAATACAAAAACGGCAAAGCCCCGGAGATCCGAGCCATCAACCCAGCCTAGTCGCCCCAACTCGATGTTCACATTGCTATCCACCGGTCGCTGCCAGCATCTCAATCGTGGAGAGCACATATGAAACTTCCCCGCACTTTCCAACATGTCTCGACATGTGGCTCCCTTTTTTGGCTACCGTTCACGCTATTTTCAATGCGCAGTCCACTGGCGCCTTCTACTGTGCGGACAGTCGACGCAATGAATGAAACAAACGACGCTTAGTGGGGTAAAACGGGAATTTCTGACAAAATCATTTCCACTCCTTTTTTGGCATTCAGAAGGCCATTCAGCGGAAATGGACCATAGCTCTGTACTCGGTGCTCATGCCCCTACACCATGCAATAAAAACCTTTTGAAAAGGCGTCCCACGCTTTGAAAGAACCTTCCTTGTGAGGGTCAGTCGAGCGAACGATTTGCACTAATCCGTGTTATCTCCTCTTTAGCCTGATTGCCGTGGACCAAGCGCAATCATTAGTCAACGTCAATCACTTTCACTAACGCAATGCCCAATTGAAAACTGCGACATCCGTCAAGGAACGCACGGTGACGCGCCGCGTGTGACGACTGCGGCGTGACCTAGTTTCGACAGACGCGCGCAAAGAAGCGCACCCCTGGCTACACTAGGTGCCTGCGTGCAACATTTGTGTGCAAATGGTGCAACTTCTACAGCCTCTGCAACGCCGTGAGAACTTTCCGCCTCTGGGTGTGTACGTTGGCCAAGCCGGTCTTGGAACCTCTGTTACTTCCTATCTGCGCCGTGTTTCGACGGTTTTCTGAGGGTTCCTTATGCTATTTTTGGGGTCACAGGTGCGTCCTTTTGCGAATTCTCAAAACCATTTTCATTATGTGTTGTGCCTTTAAAGCCGACAAGTCTTGAAACGAGACTCGCTCCACACTCCAATGACATCCACGTCCTTAAATGTATAATATGATAACGATACATAGGATTTGCGGAATTCTTATATAGCAATGAAATGGAGCAAATAGAAAAGCGGAAAAAGCGTACGCGTTCCTATAATTCACTAACTTATAGCTCGTCTAGGCAAAGAACAAGTAAGCTCAAAAAAGAGTGTCATTTGGGAAGGTCATTCCCTTTTTTTCGATTTTTAAACCTCTTTCAGCTTTCCTGTTCCTTTGAAGATCGGATTTTCCTTTTCCCGCGTGATATGACAGAGTTCCACCACAAAGTTTTTGTTGGTCTTTTTCGTTTTTTTTTGTATTTTGCACAGTTTTAAGCCAAATCTCTATATGCTTTTTCCGCACCTTATTCCTATGTAGGCTCTCTTTTGTTACTGCTCATAGCTATCACAGCATCCGCTCTTATTGAGTGATGTTGCACTTGAAACATTTCTAGGTTTCCGATGCCCTTCTTGCTGATGTCGATGCTGCAAGAGCTCGAGCTGATGATGCGCTCAAGGTGGCTGAAAATACACTAAAAGACGCGGAGAGAACGTTGGAGACCCTCAACGGTATGTGCCTTCGAACCGAATGGCTTTGCCACTTCAAGATTGCTATTTTCAGCGTTCAATGAACGAGTTGAGAAGTCAAAGGCGGCCGCTGCTGAGCAGCTGGGAAAACTTGCTGAGATCGAGGAAGCAATAAAGAAGGCTGAGCAAGTGACAATGGAAGCTGAAAACGCCATCGGATCAGCTGCCGTAGATGCAGCTCGAGCCAAGTTCTTGGCACGTCAAGCTGGTGAGGGTGCGGAAATGATTAATGAGGTCAGTTTCCCTAAATGTGAGTGTATTGTGTTTGAGTTCAAGTCCGGGTACAACCCTTTGGGTCGTCCCCTTTTCTCCGTCAGATAACGACATCATTTTTGTATCACATGTTTCACCTGTCGTTGATTATTAATTTCCATGAACGGGAACTGATAACGTTCCCATTCGTCTCCGTGGTGGTCCCGTGGATCGTCCTCGCTCGAGGGGTGCGAAGCATAGCCCTCCTTTCGATAAGAGGTTTTTTGAAGAACCGTGGTCATCTTGCTGGCGGTCGTTGTGATGTTCGTTTAACGTCCCGAGGGATCCAGTCAATTATCGCCGTAGTCCGACGATCTTGACGAAATCGCACGACGCATCCGACTCAACTTATATTCGATTTCTTGGCGTAAGCAACCCCGTCCCAGGTATTCGTTGACGGACCTCGGAACCTCATATGCCATATGCCAAAGCAGAACTGCTGTGTCAAAAAAGTGGGCGCAAACCCGGATGTTCCTGCTCTTTCGACATTCTTAAATGCTCTCAAGCTCAGCTCCGAAACCAGATCGTTAATCACGTTGGCTTGTCGACCCAGCTGCACGTGACTAGAGCTTTTTGTGATATCTGTTCCGTCTAGCGTGTAGGGAGCATCAGGTGCCAGTCCGTTTCACCGTCGACCACCGTCGTCGTTAAGTTCAGTCATGAGCCAATCTTACTACAACCGTTGTCAAATTCGGTCAGCATTCGTTCCGTCTGCCCGGTACTTTGTTTTCTGAGCACGGTGTGTCTGCTATACGGAGATGATGTAAGTGCCGCCATCGATTTTCCCTCCCTCTCCAGCAATGAGCCCTGCTACTTTCTGCACTTTCAGCTGTGATGCCTTCGTTTCAGATGGAGTCACTAGAGCATGTTGGAATATCAGGACACGATATACCACAAAAGGGATCGGCACGCTGTATAGTCTGAATAGTGGGAACGGAAACACTATGTAGTAGACTTGAACACACAGCATCAACACAGGAGCAACTGGAGCAACATAAGTAATTAACGGCGTCATACGATACGAAAAAGTGGAAACAGTGCTAGATTGATGAAAGGCAGCAGTAGTAAAGCCGTGAAATGGTAAAGTGATAAGCTGGTGTAAAATCGAGAGCAGAATTATTGTTTTTTTTTTTTTGTTCATGGCATCAATAAGTGAGGTCCTTGTCTGGATAGTGACTAGAGCATTCTGAAGGTGAAAAGCCAATGTCATTATGCCTGAATTGATTCCAAGATTACATCCCTGAGCTTGAGAAGGCATCAATACTACTTTTCTAACATTTTTTTTCGGAAGTACTTCACCACTCTTTGATCTACACACTCTGGTAAAAGTTCATCCAACATCCTAGTCATGCGAAGTGCGAGTTTGACATGAGTGAATCGAACCTCTTGTTAATGTTAACGCGATTTCTACTGAATCGTTCAGTTCTTACGCTACAGTGTCTGAAGACCCAATATTTGCAGGGCCTAGGCTTGGTTTCACTTCTGAAAATTCGAAAGCACAGTTTAAGATTATCAACGATCCTCTTCTGCCTAGTGTAATTAACCCCAACCACCTTGCGCATTTCTCATAGTTGGGCCCATGTACTGCTGGTTCCCTTGAGTATTTAACTTTTTGACAATAGACTTTTAATATTTTTACTTTTTCAAGAAAGCGAAAGCATTCCAAAACATGACAATGCAAACGCGAAAATCTGCTGAAACCCTGAATGGTGACGTAGATCAGCTCATGGAAGAATTGACGGAGACGAATTCCACCCTGGATAGTTACAAGGTGCAAGCGGAAACTGACAAGCAAATGGCTACTGAGGTGAGCTTGTGGCATTGGTGATTGGTGAAAACTCTCTTGTGCACTTTTACTTATATCCTACATTAGGCTGTTCGAAAAGCCTCATTAGCGGAAAAAGCGGCTCGTGATGCTAACATGACAGTAGCCGAGGAAGCTGAACAAATAAAGAAGATCATTGATCGATTAAGTACGTTCTGATCGGGATTCAAAAGTAGCTATCTTCTGCGTTGATTTGAAAGCATTCCGTTCTAGATGCGCTTGAATCAGTGAAGAACGCCGAGCTGGACGAGTTGGAAATAGAGCTTGATAGTTTAGATAGGCTTCTCGTTCAGGCTGATATTGAAAGTCAGGTGTGGTGGTAAAATTTTTTAGTTTCTACCCATTTGAAAGTAAATTTAACAATTTTCAGGTTCCTCAGCATAAAGTATTAAAGACGGAGGAAGATAGACACATAACGCAAATAAAAAACGAAATTGATTCTCTTTCAAAAGAGGTAAGTGACGAACTCTTGCTTCTCTCTGCTCCCCATTAAGTAGGTTCGCTCAACTTAGTTATATATATGGGGTCTCGGTTGAGCAGTAAGCCGCTACGCACTTGGTGCGATGTAAACATCAAGAGAAGTAGACCGTGTGCTTCGTCACGTGTCTCAAATAATGGGGGAGTATCTCCTCTTCCGATCCCTCATGGTCTGTTGGTTACAGTTTTGTTGGTCTCCTTGAAGGGAATCGCAAAGAGTGAATGCTCATAACCTCTAACTATTCCATTCTGGTCACTTGTATCCTGCAGCATAAGACAGCAAGCGATAAAATTCAAAGGGACAGTTCACGATCACTTTGGAGTATCTAGTCTTAGATGAGTAATGGAAGAAACAGTCCGAAGTAGTGCAAAAGTGAGGAAGAAAACGCGGATCGCAGAATACTCGCAGAAATAAAAGGCTTCAAAAAAGTACCCTAAAATTTCATAGATAAGAGCGGGTGAACCTACCGGTGAAAAATGAATTGGAAAAAATCGAAATTGAATGCAGTCACCCCTCTAACTTGATGGATGGATAAATTAAACTTCGAAGAAGAAGTTAAGA